TGTGCGTGTGCGTGTGCGCGCGCGTGTGTGTGTGTGTGTGTGTGTGTGTGTGTGTGTGTGTGTGTGTGTGCGGCCACTTCCTTCTGCCCCGCCAGCCCGCGTGCGGACAGACCTTTGCTTGGCCTGGAGTCGCCACCGCCCGCGACGTCCGAAATTGTGTGTGTGTGTGTGTCTGTGTGTGTGTCGGTCGGTTTCGCCAGTCGTCGCCTTCTGTCTGGCAGCGCTCCGCCGTGCGCGCGCATGCCACTTCTATTCTGCTCGGGAGGTATGCCCCGACCGTGGATCGCAGCTGCTGCTGATGTTCCGTCTTCCCCTGGGCGGCTCCCGCTGCACCCGTTCTTGGCTCAGCTTGTGCCGCCTTCTCGCCGAGGGCAGTCCTCCAATCTACACCCTTGCTCTTGTGCTGCTGCACGGGCGCCGTCTCCCCCCGGGGCTGCTGGCTTTCCCAGCTCTCCATACTGGATTGATCTTCTTCCGTGGGTGTCTGTCGTTGCTGCTTCCCTCTGCGCCGCGCTTGTTGGTTCGCACTGCTTCGTCTTCCCCTTCCTCTCCTTCTACGTCTTTCCCCCATTTCCCGTGCCTGTCCCGTCGCGGCTGCCCCGCCGTGAGTGTCGCTGTCGATCCCCCGTGGGTGGATCCAACTTCCCTTCGCTGCGTGAGCCGCACTGGTACGCGCAGCTCGCTCGGCCGTTCTACGCCGCGCCGCTGCTTGCGTTGCCACGACGCCAACAAGTGTGTGTGTGTGTGTTTTTTTTTTTTGTGTGTGTGTGTGTGTGTGTGTGTGTGTGCGTGTGTGTGTCGCCCCTCGGCTTGTTCGCTCCTCTTGCATGCGGGCCAATCCGCAGCACCGCAGCCCAGATTGCCTGGACGCGTGAGCGGACTGCCTCTGCCGCGTTGCGACGTAAGTCGTGTGTGTGTGTGGCTGTCGTCACTGCGCGGCTGTCTCCACCTTGGCCTCGTCACTTGTCCTCTCGCCTCTGTCGGGGCGGCTTTACAGCCCCTCCACTTCCATTCTAAGTTCGCTACTGTCTGTTCCCCCACCCTCGTTGCCCATGCCCGGGTACGCGCATGGCACTGTCGATCCCTTTTGAATCTCTGCCCCATTTTCTGACGGGCCGGTCGCGGGCGCTTTTAGGGCACCGCGGCTGCGACTTTGCCTGGTCCGTGGTCGGGCGTGGCCCATGTCGCACGACCCCGCGCACGAGCCTGAGGCCGCCTTGGTGGCCGCTTCTGTTTTTTCCCCAGTTGTGTAGGCGTACTTCGCCATGGCGCAGCCTGCCGTTGTTGCGTTTCTTGTCGCCGCGGGCAAAGAGTGTGCGGACCGCTGTGGGTCCTCCACCGTTCCCTCTATGCTCGTGCTGGTCGTTGCATTGCAGCTGGCGTTTATTGTTGGATCCTCGTTTTGGATCTCTCTGCGCCGCGCGTCCCTCTTTGCTTTCTCGCCCCATCCCCCCGCTCCCTTCTTCATCATTTATCCTACGGTGCTTTAAACTTTTCTGTGTTGTTGGGTCCTCGTTCTGAATCCGCGACGTCGCGCTCCACCCCTTCCCGCATCCCCCTCCTTCCTCTTCCTGCGCCTCCCCTCCGCATGTTTATTTCTGCACACCCCTCACGCGAATCGCGCTCCACAGTGAGCTCCACCCATGGCTCCAAAGGATGCGTTCGCATGGCGTCCCCGCGTCCATTCTGCCCCTCCTTTCACACGGATCGTTCCCCACAGGGATTTCCTCCCATGGCCCCACTGGTGCGTTCGCATGGAGTCCCCGCGCCGATTTCAGACACCTCGTTTCACAAACCCCTCGCGCAGATCGTTCCCCATAGGGCACAGGAAGCTCCACTCATGGCCCCACTCAGTGCATTCTTATGGCGTCCTCGTGCCAAATCCGGCACACCCTTTGGGTGGATCATGCTCCATATTGCGCTCGAACCATGACCCTAGTGGGTGCGTTCGCATGGCGTCCCAGCGCCCAAGTCGGCGCACACCCCTCACGCGGATCGTTCTTCCTATGGGGGCTCCATTTATGGCCCCAACAGGTGCGTTCGCATGGCGTCCCCGAGCCCATTTCGGCACACCTTCATGCGGATGTTGCCCCTCAGGGACCAAGCTCCATCCATCCTGCAGTGCGTAGGGTATGAGGTATGAGAAGAGGGCTACGCCCTGCGTCACACGCAGCTGCACAGGTTTGTTCTCTTCCGTATATCTGTCTGACTGTTTGTTTGTTGGTTGGGTTGTTTGGTTGTTTCGCTGTTTGTTTGTTAATCTGGTTGGTTGGCTGGTTGCTTGGATGTGTGCGTGTGTGTGTGTGTGTGTGTGTGTGTGTGTGTGTGTGTGTGCGTGCGTGTGTGTGTGTGTGTATGTGTGTGTGTGTGTTGGTGTGGATGTTTTGGTTGTGTGTTTGTGTGTTTGTTTGTTTGTTTGTTGGTTTGTTTGTTTGCTTGCTTGCTCGTTTTACGTTGCTTGAATTTCGTTATCCGATTCCCTCTTCCCTCTGCTCTGCCTTCTGCGCTTGCCTCTCCTCTCTTCCTCTTTCTGGCCCCTCTTCGTCCCTTCTCCCTGGTTGCTGCCAGTTGCGCGATCCAGATGCCCAGCTGGATCTTCCTGGAGTTCACGCTCCCAGGTTGCAGGGG